ATATTAAAAATAACGAAAGCATGCAGACATTTACCAATAATTTGTTGTTATATAGAAATTTAAAAATGTAAGAAATAGCTGAAATTTAAACTAGGAAAGGCCAATATGTTTATACACCAGGCAATTTTAACTGCAACTTTATGCCTGTTTCATTGTGCAAGACTTTTCTCTAATAGGTACAGTCATCTGGCATTAGACAGAGAAAAATAATGGGTATGATCTGCCATTATCATGAAATTGCCTATACTCCTATGGGAAAACAATTGAAACCAGAAATAATTAGGACAATGTTAAAACAAGACCATTTTTGTAGCAACCTCTTGCAATACAATTTCTGACAGAGCTGTGATCTAAAAACTTTAAGGTAGTTGCAGGAAAATTCCAAGCACAGCCCATGGTTTATTCTGCTAACAATTCTCATCAAATTTCAAATATCTTGATGTATGTTATGCAGGCCTCAATAACATTTTTTCGTGCCTGCAAGCGAAATTCAAAATGTGCCTGCAAAACACATATGCCTGTGAGCAGCACTCACACATTTTATCGATGCCTGATGTTATGCAAAGAAAGTGTTGGCAGAGTATACCGTGGATCATGCTTAGAATTTTTCTGCGATTTCTTTGGAAAATTGCCAGGAATGAGAGAGAGAAGCATAACACTTGTGCATGACGACACATTCTGAATGGTGTAAATTATTTTCAATTATGTGGTGTGCACTTGGAGAGCAAGACTAAATTGACATGAAAATTTTCCTTTAGCCCATTGAGTGGTAGCAACTTCCCTTGATAAATAAAATTTTCTACCGTTAGACATGAGAGTAAAATAAAAAGTGGGGCACATTTCCACTTAAAGGTTAAACAAGCCTGAATGCATATCAACATTACAGAAGAAAGAATATGAACACAAAAATATATTTATAATGCTGAACCTGCTATAATCGATTTTATTTACAGCAAGCAATTATTTACAACCACAACAAATTTATTTACAGCAAGCAATTATTCATAGTCACACCAAAAGAATGGGATAATTATGATTAATGAAATATTTACAACTTACTTACATTTCCACACAATATTGATACTCTTCTGTGATCTATTTATAATTTTTACAAACGAATAAAGTGTTCTTGTTTATCCTTTTCGGAACCCTTTCACATCCTCGATGGAACCAATCCTGGCAACGATCGCATGCAACCATGAAAACACCAGGGTTGTATGGTTGTCGACAGTGGCAGAACACTTCATGATCAGTAGTTTCCACTCTGTGATGCCTCTTGTGTTTTCGAACAACTGCCAATTGTGGGAAAAGTGCCAGATCTCCTTGCTGGAAGCACATACACAAATGATCCCTCATACTCTCTTGCTCCCAGTAACAGTCTTGGGGTAAAATGCCATAACACAGACTTGTTGCCGCTGCGATTGCAAATAGCCCACAATCGCAAGTACCAGTTTGTTTCTGCATATCAGCCCACTGGATTGTAAGATGCTTAGATGTTGGCATTAGCATGTATGCAATTTGCTTGTGAAGTTTTGCTTTGCTTGCAGAATCTAGGTTGTTGTACAGTGAGTCGTACAATGTTACAGTATCTTTAGGGCAGCCAATGTTACTGAGGGTGATCCAATGATTCCCACAAACATTTACAATTTGTACAAAGTCTTCTTTTGGAGTACCCACCGATTGGCACTCTTCTGAAATGAACACCCATGTTGCCTGCAAGCCTCCAATGTGGGGGAAATTCTCTGCGAGAATAGCCTGTGCATTGTCAATGTGTTCATCTGTCAACCATTCTCTACTTTCAATCACAGGTAAAAGTTTGGGAAAGTCTTTGTATTTGAGAGCTGGTGTGACTGGCAATGGTCCAATTGGTCTCTTTTTCCGCTTTTTTTCACCACAGCAGACAACATCATTAGTTTCGTTTTTGCTGGCCTTGGGAACTTGCTCACTTGTGACAGTGACAGTGTCAGTTTGGCTAGTGGATTGGCATGGCTCTTCTTCCACTTCTTCTGCCTTGATTTCTTTAAAGCCTGGTTCTAGCGGAACAGCTGGGGAGGATTTTGGCTTGTGCAAGTCACTAGCAGTATGAGGTTTAATTTGCTCATAAGGCACTTTGACATTCAGCACATCCCCATTTAGCTTTGCCAACGAGACACGTTGATGGTGATCAATCTCAACAATCCTACAGAAAAACAAGTAACACTTATTATCTATAGTGTATTTTCACATGACGTCACGGCATAAATTAATTTTATACGCCGCCATGTTGGTGGAGTGAAGTTCCAACATGGCGGCCAGCGATTCGGAACAAAACGTAAACAGCGAGGCAGAAAAAGTAATTATTCATGAGATTCCTTTGTCTGAATATGCAAAATCTCTCGAAGACAGCAACAGTCAAATGATTCAGATTGTGGTGTTTTTGCAATCGCTTTTGCGACAAGTCTTGTTTACACATTGGATCGGTGGATCCAAATATCCCACGCTTTTATAATGTATCAAACTATCAATACAGATGTGAACTTACTTGTATGCTTGCCTGAAAGCTGGTCTCAATACTCTTTTTCCGACGGCTGAGAGCACAATATAAAAAAGCTTACACCAATATTCAGTTTGTATTTTTATTGAACTATTAAACTGTTAAAATTATTATACATAAAACTCTATCAAAGATACAAACTTTTTGCATTTGAAAATTATTACAGACTTAAGACTTTGATAAACATTAAACATTTTTGGTAGTCAAGACTGAGAACCTCCACATGGTGACCACTGGGCAACAGCATGTTGTGTAAACAGGGGGCGGATTAGCACACTAGGACCCCTATATTGTTTAACTGGACAACATTTTATTTTGCATATTATTCGTACAATGCATATGTCATGTTGGTCCGTTAAAGTGTTAATCTACCCCTATGCGATTGCAAACTTTTGCACAACCTGTTGGCTAATCTCAGCACTTTACACAAAATATGGCTTTTGATTTTGTCTATGGGACCCTAAAGTAGTTTATTGCCCTTGCCTACCCAAAGTCTTTGGATCAATTACTTAACCCCCACCAATAATACAGTCCCAACAGACATGGTTTTTACATTGTTTCAATGCTCATGGTATTCAAACAGGCCTAGTTGAAATAGTAATGTATCCATTATCATGGAACCTCCAAATCATGAACCAGGGCTTTGACTCCCACAAGTGAGGGGCTCATAATGATAAAATGGAGGTTTATTCCCCATATCACAAGCCCCCATGACAATTGCATGAAATATTATTGCTGAGATTAGCCAGCATGTTGTGAAACAAACAGGGGTAGATTTTTTTACTTTTCAGCTGCAAAGGGGTCTCTTTTTGACAAAGTACAATTAAAGTAGCCTACTAACCCACCCCTGATTTACACAACATGCTGTTGCCCAATGGTCACCATGGGGAGGTTCTCAGACTTGACCACCAAATTTTCAAATGTTGAAAGAATGTGCTTCTGTTTCTTGGTGAAAACATAATGTTGTAAAATATTTTACTTCAATCAAAAGGTACAGTAGAAGGGCAAAGGTTTACCAGTGCAGAGCAAACTCGAATCATTCTGTCAAATGAGAGGAACAGATTCTCCTTTTCTGCAATCAGTTGACAAAGTTTGTTGAAGAATGGTATATTTCTGTCTCAGTAAACCAATATAATTCTTTCGACATGTATCCAGACAGTAGCAATCTTTCTTGTCTGTTCCACATCAGCAGAATCAAGTTGGTCTTTTCCTTTTGTGAATGCCAGAATGTTCAATTTGGCTTGGCTTTCACTTTCATGGACAGTGAAACCCCTATCCGCCAGAACCAAATCACCTGGTATAAGGTTGTCCAGAAAGCCACAGTTCTCAGTCAGAAACTTATCTGAAGTCCTCCCTCCCCAAGCTTCACTGACAAAGCAAATTGTACCTTGTGGTGTAATTCCAATTAACACTTTAACAGTGAGTTGTAACTTGAAAACGTCTGTGCCCTTGCAAGGAGATTAGTTTGTCTATCAATAAAAGTCAGCAGAACATGGTTCACCCAGAAAACTCGGATTGAAGCATAGAATTATGACACTCGCTTGTCTGAATGCCAACTGTTGTGGTTGAAACGTCTGTGTTTATATGGCTGGCGTTTCTCAAGTTTTCTGGCAAATTTTCTGCGATGTCTTCGATATCGTCCATAGTCATAGGATCAAATAAACATTTAACAACCACGTCAGGTTCGTTTACTCTCTGTAACGTCTCTTTGATCATTTCTTCTGTATTCTCATGCATATGCGTTTCATTCGTTCGGCGACTGAGACTCCAATTTACATTCCGATCGACTCAACCAAAGTATGTTCGAAGAAATTAGAAAGGCTTGTTATCAAAACTAAAGCAAAATTCCCTAATTCAAAAGTTGGCTTATCTGGAATCACGTTTAGACAGGATATAGAACAAGCAACTAAAATACAGGAAGTCAACAAGAAACTCGAAGAAATGGCTGCAAAGCACGATGTTAT